GGCTTGCTGCTGTCCGGGTCCAGCCTCAGTCCTAGGCATGTCTTAAGTGTGTATTTTCCCCTTTCTCCAGTGGTAGCTGATTTCTGGTTGGTATCAGTATAGGATCTTGGGCCCTGCATATGTTCTTGTCCCTCCTGAGGGTTATGATTTTGTCTTCTACCTTGCCCCCAGCCACAGGGTACTTCTAATTCTTTAGGGGCCAAGGGAGTATTGCCTTCCCCCAGTGGATTAAGAATTTTGCTTCACAGGAGAGAAGAATCTGGGAAAGTGAGCATGGCTTCCTGTTTTTCTCCAGGAGCTGAAGAGCTCCAGAGGCTTGCACACAAAGGTAGGCTCCTCGGGTCCTCTACCATGCCCCAGTCTTTCTCCTGAGCATCAGTAAAGGCCTGGGGGAGAGACCTGGCAAATGAGTATGAACCTGCTTTGCGTGGGGAGCCCCCAGCTATTTCAGACAGACACATCAGCCTTTAAAGATTCATTAACATTTCACCCGATTTCCTCTTACTCACGTGTTCTGTGGCCATGCCTTCCTGCAGAGCTCTGCCACATCGCATGTCCCATCTCTCCTTGCAAAAAAACAGAGGGTTTTGTTCCTCTTTGGAGCTTTCGTCACCTGGTTGCCTTTCTGATGGACTCAAGGGAAGTTATTGTGTCATTTATTCAGCTTTTTATTATTGTTGGGTAGAAATGATAGCTATTACAGCTTTCTACATCCTAAGCAAATACAGAGACCTATATCAATGATTAACATGATAGGGTTCTAGATAATATTAATTTTTATATTACATATTTATGTAACATTTAAGTTTATACAAGTGTACTTGGTTTTATAAGTAGAAAAAAATTAAGATATGTGTAGTAGCCAGGGTTTTTCAGAAATGGAACCAAAAGCTTCACGAAGCTGAGTGTGGACAGCCCCACCCACCATCCAAGTCATGACTCAAGTGAGAGCATCCAGCAAAAAATGTGTCCAGAAGTAAACAATGACTTGAGCAGTGAGCCATGCCCACCCTTTTAAATCTTGCCTACTCTGGCCTACACTCAAATATTCACAACTTTAGTAAAATTACTATTTTACATCCTACATCCCATCTGCAGAGATGGGTATTCAGTAGGTGTCAGGGGTGGCCCAGGAATATGCATGCTTTACCAGCATGCCAAGATCCTCAGGAAAGCACTGCTTAGGCCTTACCAGACTGAGAAACATTTATCGACATTCCTTTTCATGGCCCAGCATTCCAGAGCCCAGAAGATATGAAACTCTCCATGCTCTCTCACACATACGACACTAAAGAAGCTGGACACAAAGTAAACCTTGTATGATTCCATTGATAAAAATAAAAGCCCTAGAACAGGCAAAACTAATCTATAGTGAGAGGATTCAGTAGCTGCCTGGGAAGGGGCAGAAAGGTAACTTTCTGGAGAGATGGAAATGTTAATTTGGTGGTGGTTACTCAGTGTATGAATTTGTCAAATGTCATCCACACATATAATTAAAATGTGTGAATTTTACTGAATGAAGTCATTGCAAAAAACAATCACATGTTGTCTGAGAAAAATGTTATTTCATATCATATTTAAACATGTATTTACATGACATCATGTGACTACATTTCTGAGAGCATGTGTATGACTCACTGCCTAATGCATGCATAAGTTACCTCCTGTCATCAATAAGTCAGTATCTTATTTGTATATTAGTTAGGCTCCTGCTTTATATAAGAAATAAGAGCAGGCTCAGGATCTTGCGCAGAGCGCTGGAAAGAGAATGGCAGTAAATGACCACATTTTCTGAAACTGTTTTTAGGAAATTCCTGCACACTGGCTCTGTCCCCATACATCAGGTTCCACTTGATGGATACACCCACACACACACACACACACACACACACACACACACACTCTCTCTCTCTCTCTCTCTCTCTCTCTCTCTCTCTCTCTCCCCCCACCCCCCCATCCTTCTCTACTACCTCCCCCCATTGAAAAGGGAATGACCTGTTTGCATAAGCCCCACAGGCTCTATGACCCTGAGACCCCTCAGAAATCACCACAAGGCCAGCGGGTCACACCTCAAGAGACTGTTGCTCAAATTTGTCAATAGCACCTCTGCCTCCTAGAGTCACCAGATTCAAGAGAAAACTATGCAGGGACTGAAGATGTGACCTCTGAACATGTAGGATTGGAGGGTAGAGGCCTGTGCTTTCTGGAAGGCCTCCAACATGAACTGGCCTCTTGGATGTTGGGGTTGGAGTTCCAGCCCCTGCTTTGCCAGGTGACTCATAGGCTCATCTTAGGCAATCATGACCCCTCCTTAGATCCTCAGTTTACCCATCTGGAAAATGTTGGACTGGATGAGCAATTACCAATTATTATTACTTGGCTCAAGATTCCATTCTCCAAATGGAATTCCTTGTACAGCTCCAGTAACAAAAAATGGAGGATACCTAATTGAGAATGGGGCTCAGGGGCCCCTGCCTGTCTCCCCCTTGTTCTACTTTGAGGACCCCTAAGGTTCTTGTTTAACAACTGCTAGGCTGGCTGAGTTCCCAGTCCTTGCAGCTGAACTGACTTCATGGAAATTCTCCATGATTCCAGATGACCCAATCAAGCCATGACCTCAATAACTACATCAACCTGTGAACTCACAAAACCTGACTCACAACCCTGTACTCCAAATGACCCAAATTTAGTTACTGACCTCAGCATGACTAGGACATGTGACTACAAATAATCACTCAGGGAATGTGAAATAATTCTATTCCCATTGTGAACAGAATGTGATTATTCCATTGTTTGGACTGTGCCATATCTGGATGTTTAAGGAAGCTCTGTCTTCCTCTTACCTCTCAATCTGCCTTCCCTGTGGATTCAGAAAAACCTAGAAGTTAATTCCAAATTTAAATGGCACATCTAGGATAGTGAAGTCCATGCCTAACCTTGAACGATCATGGATCCTTCTCTAAAAGTCTAATATATGGGCCCTGGCCAGGGGGCTCAGTTGGTTAAAATGTCATCCTGTATCCCAAAAAGTTGAGGGTTTTATCCCCAGTGGGGGTGTATATGGGAGGCAACCAATGTTTCTCACATTGATGTTTCTCTCTCTGCCTCTCTCTAGTAACCCATAAACATATTCGAGGAAAGGAGGGAGAGAGGGAGGCAGGAAGGAAACCCTGACACATGAAATGTCATCATCCCTGTCACTCGAGTGCTTAGTGAGATGTGCCAGTCACCATGCTATGTTTTTTTTTTCCTCCCTAAGTGTAGCATATTATTATTACAGTTGTCTCAGTTTTCTCCCCTTTGTCCCCCTCCGCCCCATGCTCCCCTTCCCTCCAGCAATCCCTCCTCTTAGTTCATGTCCATGAGTCGTGCATTTAAGTTCTTTGGCTTCTCCATATACTATTCTTAACATCTCCCTATTTTGTACATACCAATTATGCTTTCTAATCCCTGCACCTTTCCCCCCATTTTTCACCTTCCTCCTCCCAGCTGATCACTCCCCAAATGATCTCCATACCTATGATTCTGTTCCTATTCTCCTCTGCCTGTTTTAGTTTTTTTTCTTTTTAAGATTCAGTTGTTGATAGTTGTGAATTTGTTGCCTTTTTAATGTTCATACTTTTTATCTTCTTTTTCTTAAGTAAGTCCCTTTAACATTTCATGTAATAATGGCTTTGTGATGATGAACTCCTTTAGCTTAACCTTGTCTGGGAAGCACTTTAACTGCCCTTCCATTCTAAATGATAGCTTTGCTGGACAGAATAATCTAGGTTATGGGTCCTTGCTTTTCAACACTTTGAATACTTCTTGCTTGCAAAGTTTCTTTTGAGAAATCAGCTGACAGTCTTACGGGAACTCCTTTGCAGATAACTCTCTGCTTTTGAAATTCTCTGTCTTGAACCTTTGGCATTTTAATTATGATGTGTCTTGGTGTGGCTCTTTGGGTCCAATTTGTTTGGGACTCTCTGTGCTTCCTGGATTTGTATGTCTATTTCTTTCCCCAAATTAGGGAAGTTTTCATTACTTTTTCAAATGTTTTCAATTTCTTGCTTTTTCTCTTTTCCTTCTGGCATTCCTATGATTCTGATGTTGGCACGTTTGGAGATCTGTCAGAGCCTCCTAATACTGGCCTCATTCTTTCGAATTCTTATTCCTTCTTTCTGTTCTGGTTGACACTTAATTTCTTCCTTATGTTCCAAACCACTGATTTGAATCCTGGCTTCCTCTCCTTCACTGCTGCTTCCTTGTAGATTTTTTATTTCACTTAGTGTAACCTTCATTTCTTCCTTTTTGTTGTTGCCATATTCAGTGAGTTTTTTGAGCATTCTGATCACCAATGTTTTGAACTCTGCATCTGATAGGGTGGCTGTCATTTCATTTAGCTTTTTCTGCGGTTTTGTTCTGTGTTCATTTGGGCTACATTTCTTTGTCCCCTCAATATGGCAGTCTCCCTGTGTTTGTTTCTGTGTATTAGGTAGAGATATTTTGACTCCCTGTAAAAGGCACCCATCTGGATCAATGTGGCTTCTTTAAATCCTTGGTAGTCAGACTTCAATACAGTTCAATTTTCTGACAGTTCTGGGTGTTGTTTTCAGATTTGGTTGTAATTCTTTTTGTGGTTGCATGAGGGGGCCAAGCATCTACCTACACCTCTATCTAGACTGGAAGTCCCCACCGTGCTATGCTCTACATGCACATGCATCACATCTGACCCTCACCACCCTGTCACTCCATTAATGGAGTGGTACAGCTGAGGAAAACTGAGGCTCAGGGTCACCAACAAGAGATCTGGGATGCAGGGTGAAACCAGTCCTCGTGGGAAAGCTCTGGTCACTGATAGAGTTTGTCTGAGCCCATTTCCACAACTGTAAAACAGGGTGGCTCAGGTGATTAAGTGACAGTCCATGGAACACCCTCAGCATAGCATCAGACACAGGGTAATTCCATAAAGGCTGGGTTAAGAGTCTGCTTCCTAAAACCACCAGACACCAGAAAGAGGGTCTTTATAGAAAATAGGATTTATTTTCACATTTAAGGTGAACACAAACAAAATGTCCCTGAAGTATATTACATACATAATCAGTAGATTTAAATTATTAAATACAGAAAAATCAAAGCCCACCAGGAATCCATATTTGCTTTCTCCCAGAAACCATGGCACTCACAGGCCATTTCCATTTCCCATGCAGAGATTCACATTAAGTAGGCACAGCTCACAATGGCTTTGTTCCAGGTATATCTGCTTCTACCCTACTGATTCTCCTCAGAAATGATAGCAACAAACTGACAGGATTCACAGTGGCTGGGATAAACAGGTCTCAGTCATGAGACCCTTCACAAAAGCCCTGATTGTGTTCCAGAGGCCAACCTCCGGAGTTCTGTGGCCTGTGATAACCCAGGTCATATTACAGCATGGAAGAGTTGGTGTCACAGCTTTATCTCCAGACAGCCTTGTTAATTAAATTATTCCAATTAGAAAGACATCATTAAACAGACACAAAACAGCCCTTTTTGCAGCAACTGCTTTCTCCCTTGGTCAAGGAAAAGGCAGAAACCTGAACTTGAAGCTAATCCATCACCACCCCCAATATCCAAGGCACATGGGCTGGACAAGCACAGCCAATGCCCGATGAGGAATAGTGACAGGATGTGCACAGCAGGGGTTCAGAAACAGGGTCATGAGGCAGGGTGAGCACTGAAGAAGCAGTCTGGTGGGTCCTGGGGAGGTTTGACATTCCTTAGATGCCTTCTTGAGCACAGGACGATAATGGAGCAAACATAGGCAACTTTATGGGGCACATTCACTGGGAGGCCGAGGCAGCCACCTGGGTGACTTAACACCCAGGTGCAGCTGCTGTGGGCCTAGCACCCTAGCTGCAGGGGTTTAGCTCAGCTGGCCACAGTCTGTGATAACAATCTTCTTGGTCGTCTTCCCACTCCTGGATCCAAAGGATTCTATTTTCTTCACAACATCCATGCCGTCTTTGACATGGCCAAACACAACATGTTTGCCATCCAACCTGTGAGGACAGGTGAGCCAGGTGAACAGAAACAGGAGTAATGCAATGTCAGTCAACATTATGGTCACTTGCTCATGGAACTATCTACCAAAAACAGCATTCTGAAAGGAATGCACACCGAAAAGCTGGATCCATTGAGTGGTGGCCTGCAAACCAGTTGCCAGTTCGATTCCCAGTTAGGGCACATACCGGGGTTGTGGGCCAGGTCCCCAGTAGGGGGCGCATGAGAGGCAACCACACATTGATGTTTCTCTCCCTCTCTCTCCCCGTCTCTAAAAGTAAATAAAATATTTTATAAAATATATATATATATATATATATATATAAAAAAAGAAAAGCTGGAATTACTTCCCAAACCTCCCAGTATCAAGCCTTGCTGAGCTCCCCAAAATATATGGAAGGAGGCCTCCTCCGAGGGCATGTTCTGCCTCACCCATACTGCGTGACCTTGCCTGGTAATCTCATCTATGATAAGTGAGCTCTTATTGCTCTGCTCAGGGAGATTATAGAGTGTTGACTACTCTAAAGAAAAAAAAAGGTTTGTGTAAATGGAACTATTTTAACAGTCATGAATCATGAGGTGAGAGCCAAAGTAACAAGTGTGAGGATACTGTAAGACCTGAGTAGTTTTCAGCTTGAAAGAGTTCCAAGAATCTAAAAGGCAGCTTAATCTAGTGCCAGCAAGGCAAGACTGGTTACAGCCAAGGGTAGAACTGAAGGATCCATTAAAGTTTGGTTCCATGGAAAGAGCACAGAACAGGCAGAGCCAGCAATAACCTGCCCAGCCCTGACATCCACGTCCCTTCTGGTAGATCTCCCTCAAGTCCTCAGAAATGGGTTTTATTAAGTCTTAGCTCCTAGTCCCCCAACCCCAGATGCCTCAGGGCTTGGACACAGGGAACTCTAGGCAGAGAAACTTATCCATTAGTGGAAAGTTTACCAGGGAAGACATCCCTAAAATCCATGAGCATTTGGGAAAGAGCACTCTAAGGGGCTGGTGGCTACCTACAGACTTTTGCTAAGGCCTGATGAAAACTCTGGTGTGACATCCAAATGTCTAACACAGTGTTTCCCAAGGTGCACCCCATGGTGAAGATAAGCCTGGCAAATAACAGGTTAAACCAGGCAAACGGGTTTCTACGACAGGTCATCTTAAGACCTGTACTCTGTCTGTGTATGCAAAGGACACTGAAAAAATTCTAGCTGACAGTGACAACTGGAAGCCTAATTAAAACAGAGCTGCCAGGATAGGCCCCACTTTCCCTCAGTCCTCTCAGGAACTTTCCCTCTCTCTTTCGTACAGACACCCAGCCCTGGTGAGGGCTACCGTCCCAGAGCAGACCTTCCCCCAAGAACACACGAACCCTCCTACTGTTCCACAGCTTCCCCTTGTTCTTAGAGGGACTGGAGCCAGGAGCAGGGAACTCACCAGTCAGTCTTTATGGTGCAAATGAAGAACTGGGAGCCATTGGTGTTGGGGCCTGCATTTGCCATGGACAGGACACCTGCAAAAACAGGCAGGGGTGAGCCACGCTGTCCCACGAGGCATCTCATCTGGGAAGTCACTCAAAAGAGCAGATGGCTCAAGCCACATCAAGAACATTTGAGTCTGAGTGCCTGGAGCTCAGAAGAGGAAGCCAGGGCCCAAAGGATGGCCAGCTCCACAGGAAGGAAAGTTGCTTGCAGAAGCTCTCATGGTAAGCCAAAGCAGAACTCCCATTCCTGACTCAAGACCTCAATATTGCACCTTGGGTCTCAAAGGTGACACAATACGGGGATTTGGCTTAAAGGCTCCCCTCCTTGTCAAGTTCCCAAATGATAGTTAGTTTTTAAACCGAGAGCTCAGAATGAAAAACCTCTTGCAAAATCCAACAAACCAACCTGAGTGCTGAAGGAAGGAAGGCGCACAACCAGATACTGAGCAATCAGTGATCAGATTGCAGCCTCTCAGGCCCGTGAGGCAGGGCAGGGGCTGGATCAAAGCTTGGGGCACTCTGCCCAGGGAATGGTGACCCCCAACTCACCTGGCCCCACATGCTTCAGTGTGAAGTTCTCATCAGGAAAGCGGCTTCCATAGATAGACTTCCCCCCTGTGCCGTTGTGGTTGGTAAAGTCTCCAGCCTGTGAGTAAAGAGCATCCTCTGAGTAGCTGTCACCCAGAGCTGGACAGGGGCACTGCTGCAGCATGGGGAGCCTCTAACCCTCCTAAGGCCCACCCTACCAGAAGCTCTTCAGGCAAAGGAGTCAAAAAACATCTCATTATATAAGGACTGATAAAATATTAAGGAAAATAAGCAAAATAAATATTTTCTAACATAACTCTCCTGGTTTCCAAATGATTCACTTTTTGTCTGAGCAAGTTTTTAAATGATCCTCAAACAATCTGATGACCAACATGATTCTTAGTGACCTAGAATTTTCTACTCACAACTCTTGGAGAATAAACAGGGAGGCATCCAGGGGCCCCCAAATGCACAACTGGTCTGTGGGAAGCAGCAGAAGCTGGCAGAGAGCCTAAGCTCAGTTCCGTTCCTGTCTAGCGTCTTCCCCTGACCATGCCCAGTAGTGTCCCTCTGCCTTACAGACTCAGTAGAGTCCACCCAGGGCTGACACCCTTCCTCAGATCTGATATCCTTCCTCAGGCCTTGTCTGAGGCTTCCATAACCAGAAGAGCCCAATGGCTGCCACCCCAGCCCTAGGCCATGTTACCATTTTCCTAAGATGGGACCCTCTCAGGTCACAGGGGTGACCTGACCAGCCAGCTGAGGCATTCAAAAATGCCAATAAGGTGCCTCCAAACAGGGACAATTGAAAACCCTGGCCCGGCCCCTGATGCTACCAGCTCATGCCTCAGCAAGTCCCACAGCTTTGGAGGTCACTGCCCTTGCCTGTCACTATGCAGAGGAAGACAAGAACCCGGCTCAGGACACCCACTTCGGCTCCTGGGGGCCTCTGAAGCAGAAAGCTACAGGGCTTGGCAAAGCCTGCCCCATGCCACAGCTTTCCTGCCCCTCCTATGGCATTTGACACATCAGCAAGCCCAGCCCCAATCCACTGACACCATCATATGATTACAGCCACCAAGGTAGGGTGGGAGGAATGGGGAGAGAATTCCAGGCTGAAAGGACTTCAAAAAGGTCACGATATCCATTCCCTCACCTCAGGACACAAACTCATGACCTAGTAGGGTGTGACCTAACAGAGGATAATCCCCAAGGAAGCATGGGTCCTAAGCTGCCAAAAGCTACCCTAAAATTTGACACAGCAATACCAATGCCTCTGACAAACGGACAGGATGCATGACTAAAGAATACATTCATTCAACCGAGAGATGTTTTCCTCTGGGAAGAAACTCCCAAGTCCAGACCTGTTTGTTGTGGTTCGTGCCCTTCCGCTCTCCTTCCTCTTCCTCTTCTCCCATGTCATGTGCTCAGTGTGATACACAGGGCCAGAGACTATCTGAAGACACCAGTCCTCTAAAGCCTTAAGATCTACCTCCCATGCTCATCCATACCCAATGTCAGCACCCCCACCGCAGGCTCAGCTTTCCCAACTCAGCTGGGCAGGGCCATCCTCTTACTCGCCCTGTTGCTTAACTTCAGGGGCAGGGCAGGGCAATAGCAGCACAGACAAGTTCCAGCCTCTCAGGGTGAGAGGACAAGCCAAGAGAGTCATTGCAGTTGCCCTCCATTCAGTACTTTGCAAGCACCAGGCACATGCTGACTCATTAGTCCTCATAACACTCCTGTGAAGGGGCCCCATTCATATCCCCACATACAGACGAAGAACCTGAGCAGAGAGGGCCACAGTACCTGGCACATGAAGGACGGAATCACTCTGTGAAACGTAGAGCCTTTGTAGCCAAAGCCCTTCTCCCCAGTACACAAGGCTCGAAAGTTCTCTGAGGGAGGAAGGGAGAGGCAGGTTAAGAGGGCCAGGCCTCAACTCAGCTCTGGGGGTGACACCTTGTGCCAGCCAGCATCCCCTCTAATCCCCCAGGTGAGCAGGGCATGGAAGACTCTAGGCCCACCCCAAGTCTGCTCTGGCTGTGTGACCCCTGACAAGTCAGTGAGCTCAGTGGCAGAGCACACAATCCTAGCTGTTCCAGCACCAGGTCAGCTGGGCAAGCAGTCCAAGGGTTGTGACCCACCACCCTGCCACACTGGGCACCAGGAGGGAGGAAGCTGTTCCAGGGAAATTTACATGTGCCTTCTATCGATACTGAGGCTCATACCAGACAGGTGAGCAAGGCCAACACTGAAGCCCAGAGAGGAACAGAAGGCTGCCCCGGTGTACACAGTGGCTGAGCCACACATGGTACTCCCATCTGGTCCTGGATCCCCTTGCCAGGACTCCTCTTCCCAGTGCATCCACCTCACCTTGCCCCTCTCTCTTCCTTCTACCTAGACCAAACTCAGGAGGGTCCCAGGCACTGTCTTACCTGCTGTCTTTGGGACAACATCTGCCTTCAGCTGTTGGGAGAGAAGAAGGACAAGAGAAGATGGTCAGTCAAGAAGTAGGTGAAGGAAGGAACCTCCACAGCGGCCAAGGAGACTGAGAAAGCACCATGTGCCTTTCGATTCCTCTTACTCCCAGCTCTACATAGGAGGCAGCCTAAGCAGCTATCATTTTTGCAAGCAGCTTCCTGAATCCAAGTCTGGGAGAAAGCAGGCTTGGCTTCCTAATGCGTCAGGAGAGAGCAGAATACCATCCTGACCTGCTTCCCTTGGGAAGAACTGGCAGAGCTACTACAGCTGGGCCCTAGCATCAGACTCAGGGCCTGGAGAGGGCGTCCAAGGAGGAGCCAGTCTAAGCTCCTATTGAGCAGATGGGAAACTGAGGCTGAGAGAGAGACAAGTAGGGTGAGGGTACAGGGAGGTTGGAGCTCCATCCAAGTTGGCCTCTTGCCTCTCAGCTTCAAAAGCGACCCTCTGCTCCAAACCACTGAAATAAATGGGAGCAGGACTGGTGCTCTCTATGTTCCAGAAGAGGAAACTGAGGTTTAAGTGAAACCTCCTTGTTAAAAATAGGGCCAAGCTTGAAGGCTACACCGAGTTTCTATTACCTTCCCGCTGTGTTACCTTAAGGACTCTTTGCATTTTTTTTGTTTTGTTTTGTTTTGTTTTGTTTTAAAAAAAAGGACCTAAGAGTCAGGGGCAAGAGTCAGCCGCAAGGGTGGCTGGGGTTAGAATTGGGCTCCAGGCACACTGCCCAGACTCCCCGTCCTGGGGTCCACCTGGTAGCTGGAGCCCGCTGCTGCCCAGCCTGCACTGCCCGCACTGCGCGAGAGGTGGTGGACTCCAGCCACCCTCACTCCTTTCCAGGGCCTGGCGGGTGAGCCAGATGGCGGGGGCTGCGTGTGGCGCGAGGCGCGTTGAGAAGGGGAGATGGCGAGCAACGCTCGCTCTGCGAAAAGACCGCCACGTGAACGCCCAGCCAGGCCGCCGCCGGGGCCCGGACGCCCGACACCCACTTCGGAGCTGGGGTCTAGGTTCCGACTCGTGAAGCCTTGGAACGCCTCCCTCACTCCAGGCGGGCTAGCGGGGCCAGGCCCTTACAGTCTACGATTTGACCTTCCGCCTTCCTGTCCACAAGTACCCTCCCCGGCCCCGCCCCCTGCCTCCATTCCTCCAAAGTTCCGAGGGGAAACCGGAGGAGGCCAATCCGATGTCTCTTTTCACAGATGAGGAAACTGAGGCCCAGAGCCCGGGAGTGAGAAGAAAGGTCACCCAGAGAGCCAGGCACAGCGCTGGACCGGGATCCCGGGCTCTCCCGATCACGTCCCTCAGGCTCAGGTGTGGTCTCACCTCCAGCACCACGCGGCCGAGAGGCTGCCCGTCGGCGCCCACGTCCAGATACACCAGCGGGTTCCCGGCGGAAGAGGACGGGTCGCGGGCGCCGCCGCTACAAGTACGGGCTGCGGGGCGCAGCGGCAAGGAGCGCAAGCCAAGTAAACGCGGGCCGCAGCGCACCGCAAGCATGGCGAGCGGGTCGGTCCGGTCGGGACGGAGATCGGCTGTGCGTACGGGAGAAACCGCAGCGAAGGTCACACGCACCTACAAAGTCTAGTCAGCCGCCACCGCGCTGGCGCCTTTATTGGCCCGGCAGGCCTCGCGGCCCCGCCCCGCCCCGCCTCGTCCCGCCCCCTCCAGGGCTGTCCGTGGGCGACCCCTGCGGGCCTCGGTGAGCGACGCAGCTAGACTGGTGGGGCGGCAGGGCATGAATTCCTTTGAACTTCGCCAGGGCCAGAGACCTGAGGGACAGACACCACCTCACAAAAGGAGACCATTTCCATTTTGTGAGGGCCCTGCAGACAGACAGAGACCAGGAGAAATGGTGGCACCGAGAATCAGTTAAAGAAAGGTGGAGAGGAGAGGCCGGATTGGAGGGAGGGGTGGCAGGCAGAGACAGGCAGAGACACCTCCCATGGTGACCACAGGCTTGTCCTGTTCACAGACCCTTCTGGAGATCAGATCTCCCACAAGATTGGAAACTGCCTGGGCCTGTCTCATGCTCCCACAGGCCCCCTGGCCTCCACCGGGGCTGGGTCTGACGCCCCTCCTCCACCGCACTGACTGACAGCCCTGGTGCAACCAGGGCTACTGTCTCCTTTCCCACCTCCACTCACCCCGAAACAGACTTCCCATGGACTGCACAGAATCTGTAGGTGACATAGCGCAGGGGCCAGTGCATAGGGAGTGCTGGGAAAAGTGAAAAAGCAAGATGGAAAGAGAAAGGGACCTGAGTGGGAGGGACTACGGGGACAGGACTTACCCCACATGCCAAGGTGGACTTCACAGAGGCCTGGGAGGCCCACAATAAGTGATTAATGGATGGACAACCTAAGAGAGCATATGGGCCAACACCTGTATCCCCCAGAGGGGAAACTGAGGCCCAGAGAGAGGAAGGCACTGTCCAGGGCTAGGAGAACCCTGGAGTCCCTGCCACCAGCCTGCGCCAGTCCTTCCAGACCTCTGTGGGACTCAGTTTCTCCTCTGGAGAATAAGGGAGTGATCATAATACTTACTCTGCCCCCCACCCCCCACCCTAGGTCTGTTCCAAGGATAAAATGAATAAGAAAGAGAAGAATTTGTCAACTGTTAAGTACTATGCCATGAGCTTCAGTGATGGACAGAGTCTAAACGGTCTATGCTCAGAGTTTGGGGCTCACACTGCAATGGGTCTCAGTTGCAGGGGCTCAGAGGTCTCAGGGGCCAGAGAAGAGGGTGGTAGCTGAGCCTTGGAGTCAGACGGACTTGAGCGGGGACCAAACTGAATAATCTCGTGGGAAGAGGCTGGCAGCAAAATGCTGACCTAAGCAAATTCATGACCTCAGAGTAGAGTGTCCTAGCCTCATGAGAATGCTAGTGTGGCCCTTTTGGGAAAGTTTAGAGCTCCCTTTTCTGTATTTCTGGTCTAGAGGGGCCTGGTCACTCAATGAAGCACCAACAGCTTCCCAGTTGCTCTCTAGGTTCAGCTCAGGATGGGGCCTCACTCTCCTGAGAAATGCCTCCTCCTTTCTCATAATTGTGATCTGAAGAAGAATGGGCCTAAGTGGGGAACCCAGTTACTCCCTGCCCCATCTGGACCCTCAACCCATCTCCCAGATTACCTCATATCTGTGCATACTGTAAATTTGAGAGGAAGAGAGGAACCACCCCATGCCCTCAGCTCACACAGCCTTTAGCCATGCCAAGTGGATTAGTGGTATCCTAATGTTCCTCAGGCCTGCTCCTGGAGGGCCTCAGTTTATCGTCCACCCTGCTGAAGCATGAACAGTTCTATTTGGGAAGAGCTGCCTTCATTCACTTGGAGTCTGTCTGACTCCAAGCTCAGAGTATGTCAAGGATATATCCAGCCCATCTCACTGTCATCAAGTAGGTGGTTGTTGGGACAGGGTGGGAAGGGCAAGAGAGACAAACCTTGAATAGACTACACAGCCAGATAGAAACTGAAGTTAGCCAGGGGGGTTGTCTGCTTGGGGATCACATTTAAGTGACAGAGACACAAAAACGTAGAGAAGAGATTCCAGCAGGGGAATGAACCAAACCCAGCCCAGAGCTGGGAGCTATCAGGGCACACCTTCAAGGCAAAGCTGCAATTCTGACAATGAGCTGGAAGGCTTTGTGTGTGGGGTGGGGGGCGGGGGGCAGCAATCACTGAAGGCCCTGAAGGTCTAATGTTGCTGGATAGAACTGGTGATTCATCGATGGTACAAGGGTCCCATCCCCAGGACCCTGGACTCAGAACCAGTTTCCTTCACTCATGTTACTCCTTCCACCCTCTTTGGAAAATCAAACATCATCACTACCTTCCTGCCGAAGAGAAAAGTTCCACCTCCCCCAAAGGCTCAGCTGTGTGCTCATCTCTACTTGTGCTATCTTCAGTGGCATCAGGAAGAGGGATATTTCTGGGCTGAGCTATGAACGGAAAAGTGCCCAGCCCTTGATGACTTTTGGCCCAGGTGAGATAGGCAGGTAAGTGTGCTCACCTGCCTCTGAGGTTATTTATAGACTCTGTGTGATCCTCAGAAACAGGAGTTTCTCCATTACTCAACCCAAGTGGCTTCTTATCTATGGTGGTAATGATTTTAATCACCCGTGGATCCTGTAACACCAATCTTTACACCTGACAGAGCCAAAGAACAGTCAGGTCGTGTGGACTCAGAGTTGAATATTCAGGGGTTGCAAACTCAGAAACCTATGGAGGACAGGTGTGAATGAAGCATGCTGGATAAGGCTCCAGAGAGTGAGGGGAGGTGGCATTATGTCCAAATACCTCAATTAAAGGGGCAGCTTCTGCCAAGGGCAGCCAATTATTGTATGTGAGGCTATGAGTCCAGTGTAACCAAGTCTTCTAATTTTTCAGTAAAAGATGAAAACTTTAGGTTTTATGGAAATCTTCTAATTTTTAAATGTTGAAAACTAATTTTAAAATAAAATTGAACACTGACTGAGCCAGAACATACTTACAGCCTACACGGGGCCTCTGGGCCAGTAGCTTGCAAGTGCTGATCACTGTACACATGAGAGGACGAAAAGCACAGGGACTTTCTCATGGCCACATAGCCAGGAAGTACTGGGACTATGGTCAAATTCCTCTCCACTCTTGCCAGGGCCCTTCCTGCCAGATGTACTCAGCAGACATGATTTTAGAGTACCTACCACGTGCCAGGCCTGAGCTTCATCCTGAGGATACAGAAGGACAAAGGTGCAGTTACAAAGGGAAGGACAGTTACAGTGCAGTGTGATTATAAGCGCTGTTGAGCGGGCCTTTCCCAGGTGGCCCATGTGCATGGCAGGAGTGAATGTTGTGGTTGTCATGAAGTTCTAGGTGTCCTAGAGAGCCTTCTAGGAGGGGCCGGAGTAGGCACAGGATGAGGTTTTCATGAATGATCATTGCCAGTGTCAGTCACTGGGACAATGTGCCTTAGGTAGAAGAAGGCCTTGGACTTCAACTCTCTTGGTTCCATTTGAGGGATCTGGGGGTCTGGGAGAGCACCTGTCACGGGCAGCTGACAGGGATTCTGGAGGAAAGGTTGTTGAGTGAAAGCACAGAAATCCAGCCAGAGGCTGCTAATAGGCCACCGTGATCGTTGCACTCTCTGGGGTGTTCCCTGTGGCACCCCAGCCTTCATGAAGTCAGTATGAATGCATTAGGTTTGCTCTGCTGGCTTCCAGGACCCATGGTGGGTCTGGACCAGCGCATGCTCTGAATTGAGCACAGTGGGAGGAGGGAGATGCAGGCAGCAGCGATTTCCCTCAAGACCTAGGGTGGCGGTGGGCACTGTGACCAGACCCCCCAAGGAGAAGGTCTGGGGAAACTCCCAGTGTCCAGCTGGGCTTGAACAGTCACTGTGTGGGCCCCAGGGTGAGGCAGCCTGCAGGACAAGGCAGGGCTTCCCCCCTCCAGCGCCTGGCTCTGGTATAGACCCCCCTCGCCGCAAAGTGGAGTGGAAGAAGCTAGCCTTCTGGGTATATCTGCTATCCACTGTGATCCAGGTAGCCCTGGGGACTGAGGAAGGCTTCCTAAGAAGCCGCCACCAAAGGCAAGTGTTTGGAAGGACTTTGGAGGTAGGCCCTGAGGGAAGGGGTGATCGTCAGCCAATACCAGGTCCTGAAAGTGTGGGTTTTGAAGTCAGGCAGAATGCAGCTGGAGACCTGTCTTCCTATTTCATTTTTTCATTCATTTATTCATTCACTCCACAGCCATTATCTGCACGAAGGCACTGGAAATAACGGTAGTCAGACCAAAAAAAGGAGACTTATATTCTCATGAAAAAGAGAACAACAATAAAAAAAATAAACTAAGGAAAGAAGAAAGAAAGAAAATGATTTCAGACAGTGGTGTGTGCTCCACACAAGTGAAGCCAGGCCATGTGCTGTAGAATGACTGGGACGGGGTCACTCTCCATGGGTGGGGTGCATGTAGCCTAACCAAGGAGGAAACACCTGTACCAAATCACATGTAGCTGTGTGAACTCAGGTATGGGCATCTTTGAGCCTCACCTGTAAAGAGGGGTTAGTAATGCTTATGTCACAGAATTGTTCATATTAAGGAGAATGACATAGTGACGGGCATTGAACATACTAGGGCTTTGGTGAATGAATGAACAAATGAATGAATGCACGCCACCTAGCCCTGGCTAGCTGAGGAGTCAAAGTCGGGGTAGGAAGGGTGATTTTGAGTGAATGATAATGTGTCCCATTGGGAATTTTCTTGGTGATTTTTGTCTGTTTACTGAAGACTTCCCTTAATATAATAACCATGCCACACTGACACCGACTGGTGTGTAATGTTTAGAGGCTTCCTTAAGTATAGTCACAGCCACCCACCTTTTGATACACTAGCAGCCTGTGAAGTCGGTTGGGCTGGGCTATTATCTCATTTGGTAGAAGAGGAGGCCGGGGATCTAACCAGGTAGGTGACCAATAGTCCCAGGCCACACAGAACAATCAGCATTTGAGCTAGGGACATTGGGTTTGGGCTCTTTCTACAGACGAAGTTATGATGGCACCTTTTCCCCACTCCCACCCCCCTGAGGCAGGCGGCCTCTAAGATGGGCCTGGTGCCGCCCC